GACCAGCTGGTCTGTATACAGTCGATGGAGGCTGCTTGGGTACAGCTTCGTCCTCTTCATTTACTATGGGTCCAGTGGGAGTGGCCGAAGATCTAGGTTTTCGGTCACCATTGGCAACAACCAAGTCCCAACCACCACTGGTGTCGAAGCCCTTCTGAATTTTCGGAACCGTTTGTAGAGTGGACGAGGTCCCAACCTTGCTCATTGCAATCGGACTGGCAGTGGTTGTTTCAGGCATAGTTTAGCAACTGATGGTGTTGGCATTTAATGCCACAGATGATGCATTTTTAGCGCGCTGCCTAGCCTTCTTCCTCAGTTTTAATGCGAGGCCAATGAGAATGACTGGGATTTACTCTCTGTCACGTCTCCTACAAATGAATCGCTTTTGGTGTTCCTCATTTGTTCAAACATTGCCACTAGTCTTCCGTACTTCTGCGATAATTCACGTAGAATCTTTACTAGTGCGATGACTATACATACTCAACAGAATCACAGTGAATCTGGTTTACTATTGTGTAGCTTCAACTGGTTCACTGTGAACTTAGAACATTTGCGATGGAACTTGCCTTGGCAACTGCTACACTGGATTCCAATCCGTGCATTGTTATGGTAGGAAGGAAGGCCACAAACTACTGTCGACCTGGATGCCGTAACATGGGCTTTAATTGATCGTGACAACCAATTGCGTCGGTCGATGGTATTCACAGAGAGGCCCGAGCGCTTATGGTTTCCTGCCGGTCGCGTGTGCGCTGAATTGTCTGCATGTTCAAGGTCATCACGTTCTGTGCGTCTGGCCCAGGCGGGCCAGGTTTAAGCGGCTAGATCGTTCACGTGGCAAGCAGAGCGACTGAGCGATACGGACACAAAGTATCCGATAGTTACTTTGATGAATGGTCCACAGATGTAGTTACTGATTCGTCAGATGAAACGTGCAGCTGGCATTCGTTTGAGACTATAATTATTTCTGTGTGGTTCGTGATTCGGAAGATTCTTCGACTGTATTTGCAGGAATGGCGTAAAAACCGCAATGTGGAGATAAAAGACGACCCCCAAAAGCTAGATCCGAAAGATGGAGTGCACAAGATAGCGCAGATGAACCAGGGTCGAATGAGTGTGAACACACGTTTGGGTGACAAAATGCCACTGAGAACGGCGGCAAAACAAGGTGTTCACAGATGAGCGATTGGAACGCAGATTCGTTTAAGGTCGTTCAATGTAACGACCGGCCACGTGGAGTAGGAACGACAAAATGGCTAGCACGAATGAATAAAAGAAAATGCGGAATACGTAGACGAAATCGCAATTAAAGGATAGGTAAGGAGTTTTTGGATCGGGTCACGACAGCGTAATGATTCGTGAGTATTATGAACTATCGACATGAATGGGACAAAGAAGTGTAGAGACAAAAGTCGACTGCACAGATATCTGTAATGAGGGTTCACCGAATTCGGCTGATTAATGCGCGCCACCGAGACAGAAGGGTGCCACTGTGTTATGCCAGTGGAGACCGAGGAGCCAGCTGATCATCAGGAAGGCATGGGGGAAAGTCTACTAGTGCTTTCTTTTCGCGCTTCGCATGAAGATAAATCGGACGAGAATGACAACCCCACTAGAGGTTTATCAGCGGTTCAACATCTGGACAAGAGAACAATTCGGTTCAGTTATCATGAAATGCTAAAGTTAACGCACTGATGCTAAGGGTATGGAGATCCAATCTATTTCGCAGCCCTCAACATGCATCACCGTTTTCAGACCATTCTCAGACTCCTAGTCAGACAGATGCGAGTACAGTGAAACTGCTGACATAGTGGAATTGTCATTCGTTCCAGAATGAAGAAAACAGAAGCCCAAGAAATGCATTGACTATTCTGGCGGCTTAAGCTGCAGGGAAAAGTGGTCTCGCGCACTTATTACATTGTGCTCCGAAGACGATTTTAGTTTTCAAGCGGTTCACATCATGATCATCATCAACAACAACAACAACAACAAAAACAGTACATCAGCCATTTGAACTGATGCCTCGCTTCCGCTCAACCACGGTGACCTACGGAACCAAGTGTGATAATTGGGAGAGAAGCTGGAACTTGCACCAAACCTAAACGCTCTAAGAAAATAATAAGGAGCAAGATGCCAACACCTTGTGTCAACAACATACCGTCACAAACAGTTGGACATCGCGCAAAGATAAGGCGGTAACGGCAAGACAGCTTCCTTGTGGCTTTCGCTGCTCCAGGTCATAATCAGTCCGCAGATAGATCAGCACCAAACACACTTTAAACAGGCAGTCCGACTACGGGACGACAGCAGACGCATCACTGGTGTTGACTGCGCGACGGACCAACGGCGCTCGGTTTTGTTGTTAGTGACTTCACTTCTCTCTGCTAAGTTAACTTTTGCCCACCTCGGGTCTTGTGCCACCCTACAAGTGGCAAAGTAAGGCCCTTGGTAAGCGGTGACTGGCAATAGGTAGTGCGTATCAAAGCCCATGCGACTAATTAAGTGCTATCTGTTGTTCCAAACAACTAGCCTGATTATCATTGCTTCACACTCGTCTAGGCACATCATCGTTGCGGACACGCTGCTGCTATCTCATATCAGCAATGCTTCGCAGACAGCTGTTACAATCTTCTCACTAGACACAATTACTGCCCCACAAAACTTCTAAGCCAACCAAGGAAGAAGCAGAACGCCAATGATCCTGACAAAATAACGTGTTAATCGTCGTCAACAAAACACAATACAATTGCAGCAGATACTGGCTGTACTTATAGGTCTCTTCAAATTCTGGAATAGGAAGGTCAATCACCAAGGTTAGTTGTTCCATGTAGATTTGGCTGATCTTCAAGAGGTTACTAGTCACGTGCAGGCACTGGAATATTCCAGAACTTTCGAAATCGATGTGATAACCGACAATCGATTAATCGCTAAAATAATGGATTTTCCGGGAAATTCTTCTTTTCCTGGACAGCGGTGATAATCAAAGAATTGAAGACGCCTCAGATACTCACTCCCACAGAGTAGGACGGCCCTCGTGGTGGCCTTGTAAATACGGTCTGTCCGACTGAAGGAAACCCCTTTCTGAAAGCACAGATGTCGCAGATTCAAGAAGACACTTCTAGCTCCTGCAATACGTAAACTGACTTCCGTAGATATGCGCCCATTATTGCTGATGCAGTTGCCAATGTAAGTGAATTGATCAGCTGCGTCGAGTTCCTCGTCATCAAGGGTCAAAGGGGTCATCAAGTGACTGATGGTCTTGTAATAGCACTTTGCACTTTGAAGGTGCGAAGCACATGCCAAATGATGGGACTACTCTAGAAAGTTCATTCAAGGTCGATTGGGCTGCCCAAACATCGTTAAACAGCAAGGCAAAATCACCCGCATAATCAAGCTCAACTAGCTTTCCACAAGACGGCGCCTCAAGACCAATATTGTGAGATTCCGCGGCGAAGTTGAACAAAATTGGGGAAATTGGACAACCCTAACGAACGTTACCTGTTGTCGAAAACGTATCTAATCTGTAACAGTAGACCCTGACGCGGCTTGTGGAGTTCGAGTAAAGGGCACATGTTTCAGGGGAACACCTTTCTGCGCAAGTATTTCGAACAGAACGCATTGATCGACTAAGCCGAACGAGCTCTCGTAATCCAGGATCACATCAACTGTCGGTCTACGGTATGCGTCGCACTGCTCTAGCACCTGTCTTAGGCGAAAACCTGCTTGCTCTTCCCTAATCCGCAATTCCCGTTCCGCAGTGAGGCGAAGAACGAACGACACTAGTACTTCTGTCAACACTGGTGTTAGGCAGATCCTCCTGTAGTTAGTACAGTCGGCGCGATTTGCCTTCTTGTATATTGTCACTACAATCGAGTCACTTCGGTTAGCTGAGTTGACCTCTTCCTTCCAGATCTGTTTGAACAGATAGGTCAGTGCTCTGCAGTGGACATCAACATCATCCTAAAATAGTGCGGTGCGAGGGAATCCGAGCCAGCAGCATGAAAACGATTAAGGGCTGTGATCGCTTTGCAGACCTCAGCCTCTAATGGAGCCTCTAAACTAAGCGTCCATGGCTCATTTTGCACCAGCTGAGTAGGAAGAGGTCCGGAAACAGGCAGCCAGTTGAATTGATCTTGAAAGCTTGAAAACAACCGGTTGGTATAGGTTGTGGGAAACGTTTCGCTTTTGACACAAAGCATCCTCAGGCATCCTCAGTGAATCACTACTTCGTGAATCAACCTTAGCTGATGTCGTCAAACGAGTCATACACAAACGGCTGCTCACGGAAAGCCCATCAACCAACGACAACTCAGCCTTGGAGCTGAGAACAATGTCAACCCAAGCTCGATCAGTGATTGCCGCATCGGCGTCTCTGGATGCGTCCAACCAATAGCAAGATGACAAGCCGGGTGCAGTTTCGGAAATGCAACACACGTTAAAACCCATTGTGTTCAATATGCGTGCGAGGGCAGTCAGGTGACCTATATTTTAGGGTACGAATGTTGAAGAAAAGAAGAGCCAGAAAAAGGAGTAGCGTAGCCTGATAAGTACCTGCTGAGCTGCTGGAATATAAGTGCAGAGAGTACAACTTCAATGGTACTGCAACTGTTGTCAATTAAGCTGGGATTGTTAGAAGTAAAATTGGCAGAAGGTCCGGAGAAGAGTATGAGAAATATTGAAACAAGAGATGTCAGCAGTGGCCTGTTATTGTCTATGCGCCTTGCTGTGTGAAGCAGCTAAGCCGACCATACTGAAAACGCACCTGGAGATCCCAATTTTTCGCTCATTCCCATCGAGTTAACCGTTATTGTTTGTTTCTTTAACATTTCGGCTCATCTAGTACTGACCACAGCAGTTCGATGTGAGAAGTAAAGTTGTGCTATAAAGGTTTACCCATCAGGCACCGTGAAACAAGGACAGAGTACGCTATTTTAAGTTGAGTACATGTAAATGCACAAAGAAACTAACCGATAGGTTTGAGTGGTACACATAAGAAAACTGACCTGTGTACTCAGGAAAACAGATGGTCAAAGGGGATTTGTTGATTTTATCCTCAAACAGATCGCGCTTGTTCAGGAACAATATGATGCTTGTATCTGGGAACCATTGGTTATTGCAGATGGATCTGAACAGCCGCATCGATTCCACCATGCGATTCTGACATAGAGAAGAGCGAAATGATGTGAAGTGAAATCACAGCAGCTAGAGAGCAACGGTTTTGCAAAAAAGCGCACCTAAACAGAGAGGACAGAGCAGAAAACTATCGATGCAAAAGCAGACTTTCAGCTGGCATTGACATATAAGTGACAACTGACCGAAACGTACACAGAAGCGAATAGAAAGTATGTTTTCAGACTACGCTGAAAACGGAAGGTTGGAGCACCTAAGGGCAAACGGATACAGTTGATGCAAAAAGCTTGTTACATTAAACACACTAATGTGCAAAGTGGGGCACACTGATGACCCGACAGGAGAGACTTGACAATAACAGCGATAATTGAAGCTAGTGAACACGCAAATCAGAAGATCCCCTGAAATGGTTCACCATCCAAGATACAAAGAAATAGGTCCCTGCACAGCCTATCGGTTCTAGTTCAGCAGTTGATCCCTATGTTATTTGCTGCCACCATGGTAGCTAACACGAGCGATCCTACTAGAAATCTCCTTGATGATAAAGGCGGTTCCCATAAATTTTTATGTTAGACTGTGGTAAAATCCACTGAGTTCGTTGAACTTCTTGCCGCGATGAAAGAATACAACTTGATCATCATTCGACCCGCTAGCTAGAGGTAGGAAACACTTCAGCTAGTTTACTGCAGCGCAAATAAGATACTCAAAAATATAAGCACAAATTACCAACAAAATTCAAGAAAACAAGTTGCCGGGGAGAGTAAAATTACCCAGGAAAACGCATTAATTCAATGGGAAAACAAGTTGAGCCGATGGTGTACAACCGGAACATTGAGTCGTTTCAGTAATGTTCGAGTCCATACGACGTGCGCACCAACATTCCCAGTGGATAGCGGAATTGAACTACCAATCAGGGCGTTTGACCTAAGTGAACGTTTCGGTAGCCCGCTCGGTAACATGCTTTCTGCCTATAAACGCTGAGTTCTGATTTTCAGCTGCGATTCAGAGCTAGCAAAGAACGAGTTCAATTCAATCGGATGCCAAGAGATAGATGATAACACAAGTAATATAGCGATTCGCCTTGTACAATTCATCGAGAGTGAGATCGGGATTGAAGGAGGGCAGGCGGAAGGGGGAGAGAAAAGAAACTCACGAAACAGACAACACTCGTCGTACCTCAACAAAGGCCACCAACCAAAAGTTTTCCTATCTTTTTGGGCGCAAGCCCGGCAATTAAGAGGTATCAATTGAGGCCAAGATCGAAATGAGAGCTCTCATTGATCGTGGCCAATTTATCGATCAGCCTCCTCTCCTATTCGTCAATCCAGAATCTGGTCGAGAAAATAATTCACAACGCGGATTTCGGTGTGCTGGCATGCCAAGCCATAGCAGGTTAGTATCGCAAATAACGCCACTGAGCGGTTCACTTGTTTTTGCTGCGCTATAAACAAGGCAAGGAACACGCTCACTGCTCACGCGGTGTTCCTACCAACTGTGAGCTACGCTGTGAAGGTGCCGGTGGTCGAACACAACAAGCCTCCTGTCCGGTTATCTGATGCGCCAGGTTTCGCAGCCGTAAATAAGAGTTGAATGGACGGCAGCACTATAGACTATACCTTTCAGGGCGAAAATTAGCAAAGGTGCCACGTGCTTCTGGTATGCGGTCTATGACCATATCGCATATTCCACAAGCATTGAGAAAAATGCCTAAGTAGTTGAAGTTCTGAACGATCCGCACCAAGTGTTAGTAGACGGGTTAGTTTCTGCTGATTCTACTAGAGGACTCGGCATTTCGAGGTTGCAAAGCACAGACCGAAACGACTGACATCCAGTATTAATCTCTTTAGTGCCGCTTGGTAAGCCGTTAAACAGCCGTAGTTCGTGGTAATATCGTTGGTATACTCCCAGTGGAGAAGTTGATCACTTGGAAGTAACTGCGCACGTACTAGGTCAAGCTTAATGAGTGCAATCCCCATAACTTCGTCAACAGTGAAGTTGGAAAGGAAAGGAATCACCGCTCAAGTGATTTAAGTGCGGTGAGAGTTTGCCATAAGCCTTCAATCTGTCTGAACTACGCATAAAAAACGTGCTGATGATGATTAGGTATTTATCAGGCACATCTTCCTAATCAGACAGTCCCAAAAAATACAGCGACGCACAGTCGAAAACACTTCTGTTGTCGAATAACACGACCACGGTGAGTCGACAACCGAAATGACAACGCTGCAATAACCGAGGTAAATGGAAGATGTGAGCAAAACACCAACTGTTTCATCAAACTAGGATTGTACTCCACAAAACTGCCAGTCAGTCTTTAAAGGATGAAAAAGGCAAGCAAATTAGTGGTGACGGAAATCAGACAGGAACCTCCACGATTCCTGCATTCCGAACTTGAGCAAACTTTGGAAATTGGAGTGATAACAGTGCTGCTCCAGTCGGTTGAATCAGTTCCAATAATAAACATTGTAGATCATCTACAAGTGCAGGTCCACAAAATTCAAAAAACGCTGGGTTTCCCTGGACCCACGGCTTTTCCATTTCGACAGTCTGATTTCACGCCAGAATTCTGCGCGAAACGGTCGATCCAAACAGACAGCCCATGGAGCAGGGCGTTTGCTGACCATCAAACAAGCCGGTTATTATGACTGATTGGATTTCTTTTCAAAGTGTACAGTTAACTGCTGAAAGCGTTTAGACAAGGTGTCACTGACATCAGATCTCCTGGTGCTCCTTTCCGGTATCAGACGGAATAGCTTCCCATGGTTGTCAAGAGCAGCAGCCGTGTGTATCGCCAACGCACGATGAGACTACCGGGCCCCATTGTCTTTCTTTAGGCTAGTTATGAATTTTTCCCGTAGATAGCTACGAGTCCCGTGGAGTTCGCTTCCGGCCTGAATGTGTCAGCGAGCATCGAAAAATTCAAGGGACTGAGTAGGGACCTAATGTCCATGTTGGCAATCAGATTTGCCGCTTGGAGATATACCTGCTGGTGAAGATGTGACCAGTGACTTTCAGCTGCGATCAGTGACGGCATACATAATCAGGGTGCCAGCGTACTTTGATATACCTTAAAAACATCTGGTTTCGCCAGGTAGGGGTTCCTATAAGCTCATGACGTCGTCGCGAGAGGACACCGAGAAGTACCCGCAGATTAGCATATACAAGTACTCCATCGGAGTAGGCGCATGTGCTCCAAATTGGGCAACAGTTTTGAACGGAACTTTTCCAACGGACTCTGGTCGTAAAATGATCACTTAGCGCCCACGACTGGTGGGTGTCATGTAACCCGGAAACGGGTGCTGTCACACAAATCCACCAACCAGCATGAAGACATAATAAAATGCATAATGTGTCAGCTGTAGGCCGTAACGGAGCTTCGCTGCTGTGCGACCACCACCAGTCGCACGCGGGCTGAGTATACCGCGAGGACGCCCACCCCTACGCGAATTCGAACCCGCCCCGTAAGATTACGATACAAACTCGTTACCTCTAGGCTACGGGCATACGCAATGTTCATCATCCAGACGGAGTTCGCCAGTAGAAAAATTTCAATTTGAGTGTTTACATCACTTGGAAGTACTATAGTATGTGCTTCTTCTGCGGCGTAGCTCTTTCATCTGATGACGGAAGCCATCTTTCGCTTAGGCAGCAATAGTGCATAGGCGGCAATGACAAACGGGCACAAACTGTCCCCACGTAATCTCGGAGATTTGAATGAATAAGTCTATCTGACAGCACACATCCGGATACTCACTGGAATCCAATTGATCAGAGCAGCTACGGGTTGGGGTCTCAGATCCCTACTCAAACGTGCTTAACCGCGCTTGAAGCTGCACCAACTCTGGATAAACGTAATGGGAAAATGCAACCAGTGTCAAATGAACACATGGTTCGAATCTTGCGGGTAGGATGCAGACAAGAATCGGGTATCGATTAATAGGGTCTCTGATGTTCCGGCAAGCGCTGCTTATTTACTACTATGCAACAAAGTGAGTACGATAAAGCATGCCTGTCTTAGTGAGGATCGAGAATTCCAAACAGCGACGAATAGATTGAGGTGGTCCGCATGGTAAGACATGAACCTGTCGACGAATAGAAGTGACGTTCCGCGAGTGTTTATGAGTCGAGACTAGAAGACGAACGTCGAGAAGTAGGGGTTAAAGACAAGGAGATAAGTGAAATTGGAACGGGACTATAAGGATGAAAAAGCGAAAAAGGGGAAGTAAGGAGATGGGAAGGTCTGAGCAGTACCATTCTCGCCCCATTCACTGTGCTCGATGCAGTGGGCAGGGCTCTGATGAACGTCTCATGCGACGGTCAGAGTAGCAAAAATGGTTTCGGGGAGATTCAGCTGTATTGCGTGCGCAAGACAATATCTAGCTGCTCTGGACTAAACAGGAGAACCATTAATGTTCTCAACAAAAGTCTTCGGTTAACAAATCCTGGCCACAAGGCAGTGGGTTTGGCAGTGGGCTACAGGGAGTCCCATTAAGGGAATAGGGAGCCACCCTCATACTAACCTCCGACCTAAAGGACTAGAAAATTGGGCTTGTCTGGCCCCAACCCACTGAGATATTAGTGGCTCTGAAGACGCAAAAGTGCCATCCAGCATAGCTCAATGAATCCTTGGGGCGAGCAAACCAGTGTATCAAGTTAGGATCCACCACGTAGTGATGGGATGAGAGAATACGACATACACTGAAGTGACACATTGCCCTGTGTGTGACACTTGATGTGTTTTGTCTCGTTGTCAAAGGCAATATTTGGTGTTATGCTTAAGATAAAATAGAGAGTTCGCATAAGTACACACAGGCAGGCGGTGGCAAGCATCCAACTGGCTAGTGTTCAGCGATTTATATAGATTAGATAAATAGGTGAACGGATAAATAAAAGTAGTCCGATAAGGAAGCAGGAGGAACCAACACAAAACGATTGGAAAATTGAGCACATTACGAGCGTAGTTAGAAACACAGTCGACACGCCAATGGAGATCAATCAGAGGCTGTTCGAAGAGCAATGGAAGCAGC